CCCCCCCACTCCCTATTTTGCTATTGCAGCGTTCCCTGGTGTATCTAATACTAATTGACCCTATCTTTTGGTTTCTAATAATGCATACTCCTAGAGATAATCTCATTAAATAATATCTCACCAATACTAGATCTATCGATAATATTGCATTGGATACATTCTAGGCCTATATTTCGTGATAGTCAATGTCTGGGCCTTTGTTTTGAATTTAGTAGACCGCCGTGAGCCTATGCACCCGGTACCAGTACACTATCCTTATAACTCGTTACCACAGAATTCTATACTGAGTGAAGAATTCTGTGCTCATTACAGAAGTGAGACTATTTAAAAACCTTGTGTTTTTCTTTTAAAATAATTTAGATCTTGATAAATCATTTTAATACGTTGATCAATACTTTAGTTTGGTAGATAGATTTACATAATTATTTAGATCTAGACAAGATAAAAATAGGCACTCGCCCTAGAGTAGGATTAACTAGGAATCTCTCTTACTGTATCCAACAAGCCCATGGGCAAGCCATAGGGGCTCAGTCGTCACACGCTCGCTGGGGGCGTGGCAAATTTTACGCCCGCACTTTTTTAAAGAGAGGGAATCGAGCAAGGAGGTTATAAGGTCCTTGGGAAAGAGGCAGCTGCAGCATCTTACCGTTGGGATATCTTTGGTCGGGCGAGGCATAAAAATGGAACCATATTAGAGGTCTATATCAATACGGAAAAAAGCTAGAAAAATGAATAAGTTAGGTCGGATTTGGCCGGGTATAAAGGCAGCTAGTGCATGTGTTCCGCGCAAAATTAATTTACCAATCGACTTAAAGATAGCGCCGCTGCGAGTTATAACGATCGTATAATTGTACCATTCTTGTGAGCTCTTCAGTTTCAATCTTCGTTTATTATATTATTAATCTTGATTTTCAAATTTTTTACAATTTTGAAAATACATGTATTATACATGAATATAGATCTATGTGAGTAAAACAATAAGGATGGAGTAAGTGAATTTTTAAAGATAATTATTTAAAAAATATGAAATGAATAAAATGTATACTTCATGAACTTTGTTTGATACCTGGCCTGTAAACTCGATCAGTTTCACGCTTATGTTAATTTTAATTTCAATTTTCATATTATACTTTTGAAAATACAGATATGTGAATTGTTCCTAAATTCACCTGTGTCTTAATTCATTCATGTTGATTCTAATGTGGGTAAAAGAATAAAGATAGAAATATTTGGGAAAAAATTGGTCCAGTAACGTGGGGGCAATAATTTTAATTCCTCATGCCAAATAAAGATCAACCCCGACCTTATCTTGCGGTTATCTGCAGCCCAACTTGCCCTAAAAAAAATCAATTTTTTGTCTTGTTTGTTGTTGTTGCTGTTTGTTTTTGTTTTCTTTTTATTTTACTTATTGTTTATTTACCTATTCGAGTG